ACCTCAACATAATAAAGGCCACATATGATAAACCCTCAGCCAACATCATACTTAACAGCGAGAAGCTGAAAGCCTTTCCTTTAAGATTTGGAAGAAGACAAGGATGCCCACTCTCTTCACTTTTATTCAACATAGTTCTGGAGGTCCTTGCCACAGCAATTAAATAACACAAAGAAATAAAGGGCATCCAGATTTGTAAGGAATAAGTTAAACTGTCACTGTTTGCAGATGACATGATATTGTACATAAAAAACCTTAAAGAATCCACTCCAAAACTGCTAGATCTAATATCTGAATTCAGCAAAGTTGCAGGATACTTACAAAATTAATACACAAAAACCTGATGCATTCTTATACCCTAATGATGAACTAGCAGAAAGAGAAATCAGAAAAATAATTTGATTCACAATTGCATCAAAAAGAGTAAAATACCTAGGAATAAACCTAACCAAGGAAGTGAAAGACCTATACTTTGAAAACTACAAGACACCCATGAGAGAAATTAAACAAGATACTAATAAATGGAAACATATCCCGTGCTCATGGATAGGAAGACTTAATATTGTTAAAATGTCCGTTGTGCCTAGAGCAAGCTACAGATTCAATGAAATTCCTATCAAAATTCCAACAGCATTCTTCAATGAAATAGAGCAAATCATTCTAAAATTCATATAGAACCACAAAAGACCCTGAATTGCTAAAGCAATCCTGAGAAGGAAGAATAAAGCTGGGAGGGTTATGTTCCCCAACTTCAAGCTCTACTACAAAGCCACAGTAATCAAGACAATTTGGTACTGGCACAAGAATGGAACAGACTAGAGAGCCCATATATAAACTCAACTCTATATGGTCAATTAATATATGATAAAGTAGTCATGGACATACAATGGGGAAATGACAGCCTCTTCAACAGCTGGTGTTGGCAAAACTGGACAGCTACATACAAAAGAATGAAACTGGATTATTGTTTAACCCCATACACAAAAGTAAATTCAAAATGGATCAAAGACCTGAATGTAAGTCATGAAACCATAAAACTCTTGGAAGACAACATAGGCAAAAACCTCCTGAATATAAACATGAGCAACTTCTTCCTGAATGCATCTCCTCGAGCAATGGAAACGAAATGAAAAATGAGCAAATGGGACTACATCAATCTAAAAAGCTTCTGTACAGCAAAGGACACCATCAACAGAACAAAAAGGCAACCTACAGTATGGGAGAATATATTTGTAAATGACATATCCAACAAAGGATTAACATCCAAAATATATAAAGAACTTATATACCTCAACACCCAAAAAGCAAATAACCCAATTAAAAAATGGGCACAGGATATGAACAGACAAGTCTCCAAAGAAGAAATTCAGATGGCCAACAGACACATGAAAAGATGCTCCCTATCACTAATCATCAGGGAAATGCAAATAAAAACCACAATGAGATATCACCTCACACCAGTTAGGATGGCCAACATAGAAAAGTCTAAGAACACAAATGCTGGTGAGGTTGCAGAGAAAGGGGAACCCTCCTACACTGCTGGTGGGAATGTAAGCTAGTTCAACCATTGTGGAAAGCAATATGGCAGTTCCTCAAAAATAGAAATACCATTTGACTTGAGAATCCCACTCCTTGGAATTTACCCAAAGAATACAAGTTCTCAAATTCAAAAAGACATATGTACCCCTATGTTTATTGCAACACTATTTACAATAGCCAAGATATAGAAGCAACCTAAGTGTCCATCAATTGATAAATGGATAAAGAAGATGTGGTATATATACACAATGGAATACTATTCAGCCATAAGAAAGAAACAAATCCTACCATTTGCAATAACATGGGTGGAGCTGGAGGATATTATGCTCAGTGAAATAAGCCAGGTGGAGAGAGACAAGTACAAAATGATTTCCCTCATTTGTGGAGTATAGTAATGAAGCAAAACTGAAGGAACAAAATAGCAGCAGACTCACAGACTCCAAGAAGGGACTAGTGATTACCAAATGGTAGGGGTGGGGAGGGTGGTTGGGGAGGGAGGCAGAAGGGGATCAAGGAGTATTATGTTTAGTACACATGGTGTGAGGGGTCACAGGGAAGGCAGTGTAGCACAGAGAAGGCAAACAGTGAATCTGGCATCTTCCTACACTCATGGACAGTGATTGCATGGGATATGTGTGGGGACTTGATAATATGGGTAAATGTAGTAACCACATTGTTTTTTCATGTGAAACCTTCATAAGAGTATGTATCAATAATACCTTAATGAAAAAATATACAAATACCACATATTATATTAAAAATATGAATGCAATTGTATCATTTTAAAATAGTTGTGATGAGGAGTGTCCCTCAAAATATTTGGTTTTATAATTGCCAAAAGAATTTTGCTGAACTATGTGCCCCTTTCCTTATTTTTAAGCTGTCATCTGTTTGCTCACAATTGAAATAGTTGCAAAAAAATGTATTTTTCAAAGTATCAGATATTCCATATGTACTTTAAATATTTTCATCAAAATTTGAAGTGGCACATTTAGCTCATTTTAGTTCATACCAAACACTTGCCATATATATAATCTAATTGGCTACTCCCCACCACAAAAACCCATCATTAAACCAGTCAGCCAATTTAGACTCTCTTTCTTTTAGAAAATGGCTGACAATTATTCTATTTAAGTAAACATGTTAATATATGTTCCTGGGATAGACACCATCCTTCTGGACTGTGAATGCTGGAGAGCCATGAGGGCCGAGGGGCTGAACTCACGATAAATCCTAATTTTGCCACTTACGAGCCAAGTGACCTCAGGCAGGTTATTTAATCTCACTGTGACAAATTTTTCATCTATAAAATGTGCCGGAGTCCAGCTCCAGCGGGGGGGTGTGAAGCCCAAAAGGATGAGACGGAGTCGGCGCGTGGAGAGACAGGACACGGAGTCAGATGGAGGTGGTCTCTTGACAAAGTGCCGATGACAGCTTTATTTATACCATTTTGCACAAGGATATGATTATTTTTTATTATTTTGATGATTAACTAGAATACACAGTTGGTTAATAAGTATAGGCAAGCTTTTTTCTTTCTTTTACTTTCTAATCTATTCATGGTTGGTCAAGCATTAGACAGGTGATTGTTTTTCTTTTCTTTGACCAAAACTTTTCTCATTAACATGGACTCTATTGTGTTTTACGTTTCTATGCAACACAGTTTCTAAGAAGTGCATGTGACCGCAGGAGCGTGCAGTTTGTAGCAGCGACTATGGAGTCTATCAGCTCAGGGTGAAATACAGGTCACCTGGTACCACAGTTAGCTAGGATTTTTTTCCACAAAAATATTCTTAGAGGCTTTAATAAATTTATAATCAATCTAAAATCATAAACTCATATCTTTACTTTATACCCCTTTATAGGGCACAGTAGGCAGCAAACTAAATTTCCCCTTCTTATCTACATTTCTCTTTCTTCTGTGTGGATACTAAAATCTCCTTGACATATGCTACACAGCTCTCTATAACTCCACTACTGCAGGGACTAAACAAGTTCTTACATGGTGAACAATGCAAGGCCATTCATATCATAGAAACTGTTTCTGTTTTAACTACAAACTTTAAACTATAAACAAGTCCAATATGATATATAATTATTCATTTGATTTTTATACTTTATATATGAATCTAATAAAATATTAATGTAGTAGATAAATGCAAGATATAGATAGAAAGCATGATTTAGAACTGTAAGAAGGCAGGTGTAGATGATTAGGTTTGTGCTTACAGACCAGGTCTTAATCCAAGCCGAACAAGGGCAACAAAACATCCACAGGTGTAGAAGATTTCTCTCAAAACTGGGGGGGTGAGGTTCTAAGCCTCATCTCTGTTGGCCCCCTTTTTCTCACGTGATGGCCCCCCTGCGACTGTGCCTGTCTTAGGTTGTTCCTCCCTTGAGGAATCTTACCTGTCTCTGACTAAAACCAGCCATCTTACGGGGCCATACAGGGAGATGTAAAGCTGGTAAGTGAGAGAGAAGTAATACTCTTTGAAAAGGTTAGTTTTTCACTTCTTTGCAGATTTATGCTCCGTAGCTTCTATGCCCAGCACTTGTTTTTGAGGTATTTTTACTTCTTGGAATATGGTACTTGGTAATTTCACATATGAGGCACAAATTCTAGTAAAGGTGAGGCACAAATTCTAGTAAAGGGCTGTGATTTAGGAAAGAAGAAAAACAAACTATAGAAGTAGTAGAGGGAAGAAAGCATGAGATGATTAATTGTCAACAGGGTTATTCTATTGAATATTCTCTCATGACTCTATTTCTATAAAACTTTCCATCACTAGTTTCACTAGCAAAACAAGGGGGGCATTCTCAGTGGAAATGGGGTGGTCAATGTTTGACTAACTAACAGCAGGTTTCGGTACTTTATGCTAAGATCACCATTTGGCCCTGCGTGTTCTATTCTTCAGGAGCACTGTCCTGAAAAGCTTTTGGGAAGTTTATGTTCTCATCTTTTCCGTGCTGCTTAGCAAAGGTTAGCTTAGTCTTTGGCAACAATGCAAGTAAAAGCAAAGCCAATAGTATAATGGAAAATAACAGAATCAAGGTGGGTAATAGAGGGAGCCAGCTGCAAAGACCCCTGCCTTATGGGGGTCTTCTCCCAGCCTGAGCTTTGCTACACAGCTTGAGTAGCATGGCTCCCAGCAAAAATGGGATTACGACAGTGCTTTTATCACAGGGTTAATATGGATAAAGCACCATGAACATAGTGAGCACAGTGTGTTTGTTAAATAAATTTAAACTAATAGATGAACTTCAGTGTCTTGCTATGAATTTGTTACACACATGAAATTAAGTATGCCTCCTTTCAATATTTGTTACAGAACCTCTCTTTTCTTTGTATGTTGTACTCTTGTTTTAATCTAGATTTATCATTTTAGAATTAACATTTGTTTTCTTAGGATTTCATTTATTCATATTCTTAGCTTGTTTTTTCCTTCCAGTTAGAGACTTACAAGGATGGAGACGGGATAGAGCCATCATCCCACAGCCAACTTTTGCCAGTTGGGTCCCATGACAAACCCAACCAGAAGAAAGACGACTCAGATAACGGCCGTGACTTCAGGAAATCCTCAGAGAGAAAACAGGAAAAATGGCATGTGAGAGCCACATTTCATTTTGCAGAAGTAAGATAGATGGGAACATTCATTAAATTTATTTATTCATTCTCATTCAAAATGCACTGAACTCCTACAATGTGAGTCAGAAACTCCATTTATTTACTTTCCATTATGTTAATATTTCCTATAACCAGGGAAGGAGATTCAACAAACCTTTTCTTCCGAGCTATCTATCTTCACCAAGGTGGAGTTCTTTTCTGTGCAGTTTTTCCTACTGTTAGTCCAGGTTTTCTCCTCATTTGTTGCAAAATAATAGCAGCTGTTTTGGTACCACTGCCACATCTGAGAACAAGGATTACATTTGTGGTCTGAAAAAGAAATGACACCCAATCATACAAGCCAAACAACTCTGGGATGACTGAGGATGGTTTTGGAAACGAAATCATTGATTTTGACAATAGAGTCTTAGACCCAGCACCCTGAAAGCATACTGCTCTAGGAGCCTTTGAAAATGAACTCCCTCTTGATTATGGGTTGGGAGAATGGTGACTGAAATTATCTTTTCAGGGCTCTGTCTTCTGGCCTCAGAATTACCAGCTACACTTTTAACTTCTTATAACAACAGGATCACCTAAAAAATTGTTCATAAAATGAGGAGCTGAAGTATGCAGATTGGTATCATTTCAAGATGCTTCCCAAATTTGCCTCTATTTTAAAAAATATTACATGGATTTGTATTTTCCCTGTCTTCTGTAAATTTAGTGCAACATCATTAGGGGGCTTTAGATAACAAAACTCTCATACACCGAAGTGGTGCATATAGTTCAACCTACACAGGGCAACAGATTTGAGCTGACTGGTCAGGTCGTGATTAACTGAAGTGTGAATGACTAGCTCTCGGCAGAGTTTGGTGGCCATTTGTTCCTGCCTCTGCAGTAGGTTGGAGATCTGTGATTTGAGAAACTCCTCCTCTGTGGGGAAGTTCCTGTAGCTGCTCAGCTGCTGGGGTAAGTTATCTTGCTGGTGGTGGATGATTTTCTGAAACTGACTCAGTTCCTTTGAATCTGAGTTAATTTCATTTGACGTCTATAGAACAGATGAGAAGTTCATATATCCTTCCATTCTCATTATAGCCATTGATAATTCCCTTTACACAGACGTATTTCTTACATGGTTTAATATTTATCAGTAACTCCTATTAATTGAGTCATTAGGGAAGAAACACACCAGAAGTCTTTCTATTCCAAAGTGTTTAGAGCTCATCATTATAATTTTTTTCATATTGTAATCATGATTGTGCTTGAATTAAAATGATGGATTAATAATTACATATCTCTGACATTTCATCTAAGGCAGTGCCAGTCTTTGTAGCATTTATTTGGTGCAATTTTTTTCTATTTGAAGTTGGTTCATGTAATTATTGTTTTAATAGGAACAGAATCCTTTGGAGCAATGGGCATCTCGAAGTATAATCTACAGACAACTTGCATTAGAATCAACTGGGATATTTGTATTTTTTTTAAAAAAGCAGATTTTAATGCCACACTGGATTGTTTCTGGTCCTCATCCACACAATCTGTATTTTGAATAAGCACTTCAGGGGGTTCATAAGCACAATAAATTTAAGAACTACTGCACTAAAAGTACTACATTTTAGGGAAGAAAAAGTATTTACTCTTCTATGGTGAATCCATGAATATATATCATAGCATGTTCTTTTTAAAAATATACATCATTGTAGAAGTTCAACCACTAATTCTCATAGTATTGGCTATTGAATATCTGTTTCTGCTGCTGCTAAGATACATTTCTTTACAAAAGATATTAGTCTCTATTCTCTACATCATTAGTCTCTATTCATACATCCAAAGTGGTTTATCTAAATCCTGATTTTTTATTAGCTCTTACATGAAAAAAATGAAAGCAGAGGAGTTAGTTGGTGATAACTCAGCAGATAAGCTTCTTTGACTGCAAGTCCCATGAAAGTGAACACAGTGCCAGCTCCTGCTCTATGCGTCATAAACTTAACAACATCTTACAAAGTGGGTATTCTCAGGATGTTTTTTCATTTATTTTAGTCCAGGACTGCCCAATGCGGGTTCAGAATTAAGGGAATACTTGTTTTTGGCTATTGTGCTTGGAAGTGGAGCATCTGTGGTTATGTGGGGATGGTTCCATGTTCAATACCAGGCAGCAATTCCTCCTTGTCTGCATCTTTTTTAAATGTACAGCAGGCAGGATGTTACTGTTGTGTAGAAGTTGTTTTCTGCACTACAAAGGTCTTGGGTGAGCAGATTCGACCACTCTTGTACTAAGTCTAGTGGTGAATAAAATGACACAGGTCCTTGAACGCACCTCCCTTGGTTCCCTGTTTTCCACCATTGGGATGATAAGTGGAAATATTGTCAGTACAGAAAAGAAGCTCCTTGTTTCAAGCAACAGCTTGAAAAATGAAAATTGTCCTCATAGTCCAGTCTAGTTTACCAAAATAAAGCAATGGACTTGGGGCAAAATCCTCACAATAATAGAGTATGTCTCTGGCTGCCTAATATTAGAGACATGGAAAATGAGAGATATGAGGGGCAGAAAGTACTAGAGTATTCAGGGTATAGTGCCTATCATACAATCAAAGCTGAATTTTACAGTCTCCAAATGTGTTTCTTAATCACCTTTCTTGGATGTGATGCAAATACCCTTACATGGAATTCCCAAGGTCACCGGTCCCACCAGCAGCAGCAGACAGAGAGTCGCAGACTCAGGGCCGCCTGCCGCCACCTCGGGGATGGAGCCGGAGACCCCGAGGAGAGGCAGCAGAGGAGTGAGGGGCAGGCCGGCCCTGCGGCCGTGCGCACGGGCGCCTTATTTCTCCCTCAGGAAGCTTGCTCAGCTCTGTAGGATCTCCTGCTTCTTCAGTGCTCCCGTCCAGAAAACACCTGCAAACCTGGGCTCTCCTCCCTTCCTTTTCTCCAGGTTCTCTTAATTTTTAGGTTTTTGTTTTACTCATCACACACGTTTCTTCTACACGGTCACTGAATTCATGAATAAGGAATTGTAGAAACTAATTCTGTGGATGATCCTGACTATCCGAGAGATCTCAAGTTTTTGAGGTTACAAACCTCCACAAGACAAGTGTTACTGTGGATTTTACCTCTATCCATGATCCATTCCATTTCTCACCTAGTAAATAATGAAGGAACACCGAATGAAAGGTGTGAATGTGCCGTTGAACCTACAAACCACAGAATAGACCAGATAACCAATAGATAATCCTTCAAAATACCACCTTTATACATATTTACACAAATAGTTCTCTCATTTACCTCACTTTCTAGCCCTTAATTCAGGATCTAATGGCATCTTGCCCAATATTTCAGATAGATTCAAGCAACGTGTCCAGGGACACTACCCCATGTACTATATCCACAATTTCCTTTTTCACAAGGATTAGTTAGATTATTTTTAAGAAATGTATAACCACCTTTATTCGACACATACAAAGTCTATTCCCAGCCTCTTCTCATGTATCACCCCCTCCCTCCAGTGCTGTGCAGCCACACACAGGCTTAAACTAAAAATAAATCTAAGCAGAAGGGGAACATTATTCATATGTTTTAGATGATTCAGGACAAAAATCTGAACTGTGAAGAGATTTTGAAGATAAGGAATGCGGTCTGATACACTAAGTTGGATTCTTGACCACAGAGACTGCAATTTCTTCCAACCAGGTATAAGGGAATGAGCTGCAGCCGAGAGCTGAATGAACTTCCCAGTTGTATGAACTTGGTTCAGTCATTTAGTTTCTTTTAGTGTCAGTTTCCTCATTATACTGGAGAAAATACTAATATTATTCCATGTACTTCACAATTATATTTTGATAAAGATATAATACATATAAAATACTATATAGATATTGTGGATATTGATTCAACACTACTAATTATACAGGGAATTTCAGCTCCCTAGACATTTTTTTAATACTTAAAAAACAGAAACTATCTCTTGTCTATTTCTGTCTTTCTTATCCTCCAGTTTTTCCCTTCAGTTATTTATACCCTTTAAAAGAAAAATTCCCTCCACCTCCTGTATTTTAGAAACCTCCTATCAGTCACCTATAAGAATATTCCCCTGGCATCTCTTGCAAGGTATAAATATGAAGGACTGCATTCATAAAAAGAAATCTGTTAGTCCCCAGATTCAATGTCTGGCATGCCCAATCAAACGTAACTAGAACACAGAGTCTCGCTGTAACACGGAGCTTCATGAAACACTGTGACGGCATGCAATTTGAGGAAGTCCTGAAAGCCACCTACTTTTTCCTTCAATATTGGGAACACTCATTCTGCTGATGTATTCCACAACTTCGTCTCCATTTCGGAGGTTCCACAGCACAGGGTGGCTTTAGGGTCGGTGTCAAAGCCAGAACCTCAGGCACTTAACACCTGTCGTTCCTCAAGGTCACATCTTGCTCTCTCTGAGCTCCTACTTCTTTCCCTTAGGTTACTTCCATCCCGGTTATTTCCTGCTCCAACAGGATCCTGAAATTCAAGTGTCGTGTCAGTCACTTCTTCAGACATTGCAGAAGAAAGCACTCTGATCAATTATGTAATTAATGTGTCAATATCTTCAGGCCCATGAACAGGATGTTCTTTTCAAGGCTGGGAGCTTTTATGCAGACTTTCAGCTGACCCAAGACCCACCCCACTATCTCTCTGT